CCCCCACCCGGACTCATGCACCACTTCCCGAGCTCCCCGCTTCGCCTCGAAACCGAGCAGCCCGGCACGGGAACCGAGAGGCGGAAGATACGGCGAGTCGTCCAGAGCCTGAGGCGCTATCTGTGGGCTCGACAAACGCCCTGCGAGCCCAGTTGCGCCTTGTTAGTCAACGTCTCGACGAAGTACAGCAGGAGGTTCGCAGATCAAAGGGAGAGCTCGGGGCGGACAGACACCAAGGGTCCCCGTTCGCGCCCGAAATACAAGATCAAGTGATTCTACCACACTTCCGGCTCCCTTCGCTGGATGCCTATGACGGCGCCATTGACCCCGCGGACCATGTAGTCGCCTTTCGCGCCCAAATGGCGCGATATGGGACTTCTGACGCCTTAATGTGCAGGGCGTTCCCAACGACTTTGAGGGGGTCGGCCCACGCGTGGTACGACGCCTTAAAGACTGGAACGATCGCTTCCTTCGACCAGCTCGTCAAGGGCTTCGAGCTCCACTTCGTGGCCTACACATGACCGAAGCCTTTCGCGGCACTGCTCCTCGGACTCAAACAAAGGGAGGACGAGCCCCTCTCCCATTTTGTGGAACGTTTTGCCATACAAATCCGGGGCTTGTCGGACACTCACCCCTCTCTGTTAGTGCAGGCGTTTATGATAGGCCTGCGACCTTCCAGATTCCTCTGGTCCCTCGCGGAGCAACCTCCCACCACGGTGCCAGAGATGCTCCAGCGCGCTAACCGGTACATCGCCGTGGAGACCTGGACGACCGTGAGGAGAAGGGACGACCCTCGACCGCGAGCTCCATAACAGAGGTCAAGCACCCGCGGTGGCTACCCAATGTAGTCCTCATAAAAAGAAATCCGAGCCCTGCCTCAGCCTCTTTCGAGCCAAGGTTCAGTATCTACCTGACTACCTCCCGACTCACGGATAGCCCCGACTTAAACCCTTATGAATCTACATGGCTCGGCCGTAGACTGCCGAGTCCCCCCCTCAGGGCGACCTGCCGCCCGAGCCACACCTCTCGGACTGGTGCCCGAGACCGCACCTGCGCGCCTGCCCGCCTATGTCGTGCTACTCGGCCGCATGACCCTCGAGATCACGCCTGCGCGGTCTGCCCGCCTGCGTCGTGATCCTCGGTCGCATGATGCCCGATACCACACATGCGCGGCTTGCCCGCCTGCGTCGTGCTCCTCAGCCCTATGCTCCCCGAGACACACCTGCGCGGCCAGCCCGCCTGCGTCGTGCTCCTTGGCTCCATGCTCCCGAGACACACTTGCGCGGCCAGCCCACCTGCGTCGTGCTCCTCGGCTCCATGTTCCCAAGACACACCTCAGAGCGGCCTACCGGCCTGAGTCGTGTCCCTCGGCCATAGCCTGCCTGCGCCGAGCTCCTCGGCCATAGACTGCCTAGCCCACCTCAAAGCGGCATGCCCGCCTGAGCCGTGTCCCTCGGCCGCAGCCCGCTTGCGTCGTGCTCCTCGGCTCCATGCCCCCCGAGACCACACCTGCGCGGCCAGCCCGCCTGCGTGGTGCTCCTCGGCCGCATGTTGCTCGAGACCACACCTGCGCGGCCAGCCTGCCTGCGTCGTGCTCCTCGGCTCCATGCCCCCTGAGACCACACCTGCGCGGCCAGCTTGCTTGCGTGGTGCTCCTTGGCTCCATGCTCCCCGAGACGTGCTCCTCGACCCCATGTCGCCCAGGACGCACATGACCTCATGTCGCGTGAAACTACTGTGGTACTGAAGGCTGAAGCCATGCCTCGGACTCTCCCTTTTGGCAACAGCCGATGCATAGCTTCTTTCGGGAGGGGAATATGATGAGGGTAATAATGGCGACATGACGCGTCACGACGTCAGCTATGACTGAACGACACTCTGCCCAAAGAAGGCAATAATGTCGACGCAACATGCGCCGACGTCACCCGCTCTCAGACAACGACTTCGTCGTCGTCTGACCCAACATGCTTGACCGAGGAAGAGGAGGACGATGACCGAGGCGTGCCCATACCCTGCGGCAGTTCGGTCCTTCCCGCCACGCCAACACTAGTGTCAGACGCTACCAGGAGTACGAGCTTGCCCCCTGCAAGCGGGCACATCAGGAAACAGTAAACTCCCATATAAATATCCCCGAGTTCTAAACGAGGGGGGAGGGCACTTCTTCATACAAAAATCCCCTCCGCATCCACTGACTTGATCGTCGGAGGGGTCGGGCCGAGCTTCCGACCCGACCTGTGTGCAGGTGCGAGAACGAGGTCGCCTCTTTCCGGTGCCGCGGCAAAAGCTTTCTTCCCGACGCGACATCCCGACTGGACCGCCGTAATCGGACACCAAGAGATCTCGAGGGACGCTGCGCAAGATCCCCGTCATTCGGACCCCCAACCAAGCCACGTCGGCCCCGAGGCCACGACATAAAGTTGTTTACACTAACACTTTCCATGGAAGAGGACGAGGTGAGGGGCGAAGGTCAAACCTTTAATTGACCATCACGTTGGTCAATTCCAAACGAACCCATTCAAAGGTTCACGTCATAAATCAAACACATCCAGCCAAATTAATTGACCAAAAATATTATGTACTCACATTGGATGTACATAATTTAATTGGATGATTCGTAATTCCACAAGTAGCTTGAGCTGTTACGAAGTGATCCAATATGTTTAGCATTCGGAAGAACTCGATTATGGAGTCGATTTCCATCACGGATTACAACACAACTCATCAGTTGCATGACAAGTAGCCGAACGCCATGAGCACAGAGAGAGCAAAATGGGCGTAACAGATGGGAAGAAGCAGTACACGATTCACAGCTTATCGCATTGTGCCGGCGCGAAGGACAGCGTCTTCCCGGCGACGTCGTAGAGTATGTGCATGTTCTGCTGCTGGAAGTTGCCAAAGATCGACACGGGATCACTGCTGGGATTCATTGCCAAGCACATCACTCCCGCCTCCATGTCCACGACCATGTAGTTGCGCATCGGCAAAACCATGTCGGCGCCACTGAAGTGGAATGTCATGTCCGGCAGCTGGGGAACCTCGCCAGATTTCAACTGGAAGCAGGTGTCAAACCATGGGATATCGTTTGCGGGTGGCAGATCCACCACAGACCGGAGTTCTTGTTGGACGAGCTCGAGAGCAGCTCGTGGCAGAGTTGTGAAAGTAGTGCCGGAGTCGATGAAGATATTATTAGCGAAAGTATCGGATGGAATCGGCAGCAGGGTTGCACCGATTGACATCCCTCGCAGATCCAGGAAGTAGTAGGAATCAGCAACCAGTGGCGTCGATCGAATCGCGGATGCCGGTTCTTTCAAGTCTGCGTAAGATCCGAGCAGTAGAGTGCCGGTAGAAGACAGGTCATCGATCGAGGTGAGGCAATAGGAGAACTTCCCGAAGCCGAGCTGCGACACCAGAGACAGCGACCCCGGGCCGAGTCCGACGAGGCCGGAGCTGTAGAAGGGGGTATTGAAAGAGTTGTTGTACCCACAACCAAACGTGATATCGGGGATGGGATCGCCGGAGCCGAAGGTGAAGGTCTCGGTGGAGAGCACTCCCTCGGTCCAGGAGGAGTCCATATAGTCGTAGTGGTATATACACGCCGTCGTGCATGTGGAAGGAAGGGCCGTGCAGTAGGAATCGGTGCACGGCGACGCTGAGTACGTAGAAGAATTGGAGGGATCGTACTGAAGAGCCGAATGGGGGAGGCATTCGACGCATGGCTGGCACTGAGCCCAGACGAGGTCGCTGCCGGTGTCCATGATGGCCGAGAAGGGCAGAGCCGGCGTGCCGACGGCGAGGTCCATCATGTACTCGCCCAAACCGTCGTGCACCGTGGCTCGGGCGTCGATGCCGGAGACCGTAAGCATTTCTCCGATGGCATCCATTCTGTGCTGGCTACGTCGCATGGCGCGCCGGTAGCGTTCCGACGCGGTGAACTCGCCATTGGAGTCGACGTGGGTGAGGGTGGCGCGGATGCCGCTCGGCGCAGGACAGGCCAACGGGACATGCAAGAGGAAGAAAACTAGTAGACACGGCAGTAATTCCATCGTGTTGAAGATGATGATGGTGTATCGAACGAGGTATCAATGCGCATATATATATACTGCTCCATATCGTGAGTTCTTCTTGTCGTGTCTTGGAACATGCCAAGCAACGAGAGCTGGAAATCGCACCTTCTTCGCCTCACCATTGAAGCATGCCAAAAGACCTACGACTCACCTGTCAACTGATATCAGAGACGTTAATTGATTTTACACGTCATTATATATAATAATTGATTTTGTAAATTTATTGAGTTTCATTAAAATGTTTAAACTCATTAATATACAATTTATAAAGATTTGTCTACTTTGGTCGGTCACGATCGTTGCACGTGCAATGAGGACGGCGATAGGATAAATTGTAATTTAGGGGCTTTTTTGACATTTTATGGGGTTTCCAAGAATCCGAGGACTTGCGATTAAAAATGTGGAAATTTGCAGAAACACCCTTCTTCTTCGCCCGTTGAACCGTTCGATTTTGGCTTCGATCCCTAACTCACTTCGCCATACCGCTTCCGCCCTACGCCGCCCGATCTATTCACGCTGTGGCCGTCTGTCGCCGTTTCGATACCACCTCCGCTTGGACTCTCGGAGTTGATCCCGAACTTTATCCTTCTTTTGTTACTTGTTCGGTGGGGAATTTGTGTACGGAAAGATGAGATGCAGATCATTTAGGCGATGGGAGCTTGGGTTCCTTCTTCTCTATGCCGCTGCCTTTTATGCCATAGTCATTGACCGATCTTTGCATCTTTCCAACAGTAATTACGTCTCCTTTCTGTTCTGTTAGTTCACATAATATGCTTCGTTTTGTTTTGAGCTAAGAATTGTCTGCTTATCACTGCAATCTTTAATAGATCACTACGAGAAACTTAGAGGTTTACGCCCTGGTTGGATATCTGGTCGTTTAAATGTAAGTCCTTTACGTACTTTTTTGATTTATTTTTTTCTTTAGTTGTAACTCGCTTCTTCATATTATTCTTTTCTATAAAGGGCCTTTTCTAATTTCTAAAGGTAATTGATCAAACAGAATGTGACAATAAGTGTCACTTGGAATTCATGGTAAACCTAGAGACTAGATGACCTACCTGAGGTTTTCCGAAACCCCGTTAACTGTCGCACCAGAATTGGATTGCAATTTCTGGTTTTGTGCTCTTTTCTTTCTTTTTTCTGGATGTCACTTATATCAGACATTCATTGTTTAATTTGTTGTACCATTCAAGGCTTAACTTCTCTGGAATGGTCAAAAAAATTGAGAATCTCTTCGGAACAATTTTGATTAGGTTTCTTACTCCTGTCCTAAAGTGAACTGCTGAATAAGAATGGTAATGGATCATTTTTAGTTTTAGTTTTTGAGGGATTCATTAGAGAGATGATTGGAGCAAGGGGTAATTACTCTATGTTCTATTCGATCTTTATTGCTAATTTAATTGGACTAAATGCTTTATAGTTCAGACAAGGTTCATAGTGTTTTAGGTGCTGGGTGAGCCATTCAGGTTGTTTATGCTCATGCTTGCATCTCAAGTATTTACAGATGTGAATATAATGGCATTCTTGAATTGCAATTCAAACAGTGGAAAACATTAGCTATTGGTATTATGCTTGGTTCCTTTCCCATTGTTACAATAGTTATAAATTTTTTTCTCTTTTTGATGCTTAATTATAATTTGGTAACTTAATTATAATTTTCTCTTCCTTCAGGATATCTCTGACGCACAATGGAGAAATTTTCGTGAAAACTTGCCTATTCTTACTGTTGTTTTGGGGTTCTTTACAATTGTGGCAAACATCTTAAGGTATTGGTACAACTTAAAAGGGAGAGGGATGTCTTTTATATGGATCTTGACATCATTGAGTTATTTATCATATTTACATGGAGCATGGTATGCCTCCTGATCACAAGAACTTTCTATTTATCCATTATGCGCCAGTTTGTGTGGCTTCTTAGATGACTAATTACCTATTTATGCAGTGTTGGGTATATTATTTCAATTGCTTCACTGAACTTTTTCATGGCGAAGGTTTGTGCATTTTCTCAATGCTACATATTTCTTGCTCTGTTTAATATTTTTTTAGTACTGAAACTATATAGTTTTTGATATACAAGCCTTTGTGTTTCCATAGTTCAAGAATGGGTCAATCACGATATATCGAAATCACATGCTGAATGATTCTTTATGTTCTTTTATTTATCAAATTATTGGTGAACTTTAGATTGTTCATTTTATATTATATTTATATCCTCAAAACAATACAATATTTATATAGTACGTCATGAGAAATCTTATGAAAGTATCCACTATGTTTGACCATTCAACATGTTGACATTGTGCAGCTAAATGCAATGTGCAACTACTAAAGAATGTTCTATAATTTGGTTGTGAAGTGGTTGACATTGCTTTTGCTAGATGTTTGTTTCTTTTCTTGTTTCTGATGCTGATATCTAACATTTAGTTGTTCCCCTTATTTATATGCTTCAGGCATCTTAACTTCTTCCTGACTATTTATTCTCTAATTATTTGTTGAGATGTTGGAGGGTGTTTCTGTTTCTTATCGCTTGAAATTTTTGACTAACTGAATAATTCAATAACTTACTATGAACAATAAAGGGAGGGAAAGAAGTAGGGGGAGAGCAGAGAGAGAAACATGAGCAGATACCAACATCAAAGGCACAATAACTGGCATAAACTATGCAGTTACATAAATATTTTATTCCTTATCAATCATCTTTTTTAATATAAAGTACTTGGGGCCTATACTACTTTGTCATTTTTGGCATCCTGTGCTGGAGTTTGTTTTTTCACTTAATATCAAGGTTTCAATTTTTGGTTTGAGACCGATACTGGCACAAAACCTCACGGTATGTCAGTATACCAGTTGACGCTGGAGTTTGTCTAGTCCCTGGTTGAAGGATGATCTGTATACATATGAATTGTTTTTGATTGTTAAGGTGGGGCTTGGGGTAGATTATGGAGTCAATTTCACATAGGTATTCTGTCCTGTTCCAGTAGTGTTTGTCTTCGATGGTTGTATTTAGTAAGTTGTTTAATTGTTTATAAAAGTGATTTACAAGCTGCTAAAGAAACAATTTATGCAGTTATAGTTCTATTCTGTTGCATATATATGTGAATTCGTCTCTAAAATGCGCACATTTATCCACTCTGTGTGTTTTCCTTCTCGATATGTTTGTAATTGTGTTTAATGAACAAATGGTACACTACTGATACTAACAAATAGTTTGCTTGAACAAAGTGCTTTTATAATCTTCCAAGTCAGATTTCAGACATTTCACTTCAAAGCAGAACTTTCATTTCTTTTTGCAGGTCTTTGCTCGTTCCAAGTATTATTTAGGCATGCTTTGGGTATTTAATTTAGCTATCCTCATAGTCAATCGTATCTTTGAAGGCTACTCATTTTCCTTGTTTGGGTTAGTCGCAGAGTTGCCTACTTACCAAAAGGATTTTTTAATATTGAAATCTCTCTTTATCATGTTACTTTGAAGTTTTAACATTTTGGATCTGGTTGACATGATCAGGCAACAGTTAGCATTTCTGGACAACTACAGAGGTACATTTAGGTGGCATATATGTTTCAATCTAGGTAAGTTGGAAAAAAGACTTTCTTATTAGATTTTTTTTTTTACAATCCTCTTGCAGTGATGACCTTAAATATGCTTTTTGGTTGTTTACAGTGTCCATTATTATTGTGATTAAGAATTTTGATAGAGCTTTAAATGAGAGCTAACGGTGTTATAAAGATGCTTAGAAAGAAACCACTATTGAAATATCATGTTTTATAGAATCGAGTTGTTGGGCTAGCCATGCTTTATAGATTCAATCAGTCACATGTTGGGCTATCTAAAATATATTCCATAAGTTTGTGTAGTTGAGATAAGAATGTTGAGATGAATGTGTGGAGCTGTTAGAAATGATAGATTATGAAACATATTATTAATCTTGTGATAGACTAAGTGAGTCACTTAATATTAGTGATACAAGTAGAGGTAGAGAAACACCTAAGGATTCTTTACTAGAAACAATAAAAAAAGATTTGAATGCTTTTGATTTTGCTAAAGATATTGCCTTGTACAAAGCTTAATTGAGGACGATCCATGTAGCCAACCCCAAGGGAAAAGATCCATAGTTCCATCTGTCAACGGTCAACCCCAATAGTTGGGACTTTTACACTTACTGCACTTCCAGAGAGTTGTTGTACTTGTTATCATTGAAATTGAACCAGCCAATTGATTTTGCTTGCCAGCACAACTGCAACAGCCGCTTGACATAGCATGTATCACCTGATTTCTCAACCAATTATATGCTTAGTTATCAGCAGTGTGCCACTCTAATGGATAATATCTTTGTCAAATCATGTTTCATGCTGTTCTCAGTCATTTCTGATGCTAGTGGCAATGGAATAAATTGCTCTTTTAGGTCCCTGAATAGAACTACAATCTTACTTCAAGGCAAATGATCTTTTTGTTGGGTTTTTTTTTATCAAACAGTTATCCTACGCATGATCAGCTATGGATGTGACTATCATTGGTCATACAAAAAGCCCCTTTTTGATCAAAAGGTAGATGTATTTACTATTTAGACTCCATTGCAGAAAGCTTTCTCTCTTTTCTAAAATCTGCCATTTTTATTGTCCGCAAACTACTTGTTGATTTAAGCAGGCTTCTGTTTTATTGTGTCAATCTACATGGTCATGTCTCATGCCTTTTCTCTCTTTTTAGCTTGAACCATGAGGATTATTAATGGAGCTCATTGTTGGTAGGAAAATGACAATACTTTCAGATATGAATTTTGGGTTTAGCTCTGAATAAAAAGAATGGAACACATGATCAACTTCTGATCTTTTGGGTGATCTTTAACATATAAGTTTTATTGGTCTTAGCAAACAATTTGCACCCAAAGAATGAGGTGAAAAGTAAATAGCTACATATAAAATGTGTAGAAATCACATTTGGCTGATCAACTTCTGTCTCTATGATACATGAACTCATTCCACATTTAACAATACAAGAAACTTCATTAATTTCAGGTAGATGTGTGAATTTGAGTGTTAATGGTTTAATAATGAGGCATTTTTCTGATGCCAGAGTCCATAAAGTGCATAAAGAAGTGGTCACAAGGTTCTCAGTTCACGAAAAAAGTATTTTTTGCAAATTATTCTTTTTGGCCATTAGTGTCATTTCTTCTGTTGTTTCTAACAATTGATACTGTGTTACCTGTGGTATCTGGCTTGTTTTTGCCTCATTCAGAATATACGATCAAAGGAAGTTTACTTATTAACTGCAAATGTTTGGATGTGTTTATACATTGGAAATTATAACATGCTAATTTCTTTATCCATTTATATTTAGTTATCATGTATGGGAAAGAAATGGGGGTTGGAGTGACAGAAAAAAATGCCTTTTTTCTCTCTTTGCCGGTGTTTCATTTCTTTTTTAACTTATTTAATTTTTTTTATTTTTTTATTTTGTATTTTTTGTTTTGGGGGATGGTTGGAGGAAAAGACTTCGTGCAACTAGACTAGAGGGAATTAATAGTGAGGTAAGAAATTAGCATATGTACTTCTTACCTTCTTTTGCTCTTTCTTTTCTGGCCAAGTATGGATCTCAATTGATATAGCAAGATTTGGAGTTTGGTTTTGAAAAAGTAGTCGTAGTCATTTTTTTTTATACATGAATCTGGCATGTGTATGATACCTTACTAGTGTAGTACACCCACAGTGTATCTCCTATTACCTAGTTTTCAAGTTTTTTTCCTTGGCCTTCTTATGTAACCAGTGTGTAGTTACATAAAATGTTGCTGCAGCAGCTCTGTCTCCTTTTTTCATATCTTGAATACCGGGGAAAGTCATTATAGAGAAGCTAGCCCTCTATTTAGTTGTAATTTCCTAAGATTTATTATATGTCAATAATTCATGCTTTCCGGTGTGACAGATGTTGATATATCTCTGTAGTCAAACTATTTGTTGATGTATATATAGCTTTAAATTTATGTTGTTAAATGACTAATCTGAAATCTTCTCAGTGTCTTCTGGTTACAGAAACATATGCAACGTTGTAATATATGCTCTTCTGGCAAGACATGTTACTTTTCTCTACAGGTATACATGTTACCAGTGCATCAAGCCTATTAATAGCATATGACATTTCAAGTTATGATGCATAGAGCTTTAGTTTTATAAGCAGAAGAAAATTTTCTTTGGAAGTTCCATTATGAAAAGCTATAAATGCCTTAGAAAAATAGAACCAAAGACCATCTAATCTACATAATTATGATTGATGGCTAGAGAGGAAACAAAAGCATAGAAATCGAATAGAAGTATCAAACAATGATCTTCCTGGTGATTAAAGTTTGTACTAAATTTCACTGGACACTTCTAATTAAATTTTGTTCTGATTTTTGCTGGACACAACTGAAGAAAAATATTTTGACATTGTCCTAGCAATAATAAAACTCTCTCTCTCAAAGAATTGTATAATCTAGAAATGTTTTGTTAAGTTAGGATGTAAAGAAAGGGTCGGCCCGATGCACCAAGCTCCTGCTAATGTAGTGTATGGGAAGATCAATATACTCAGCTTTACCCTTGCAAGATGAGAGATTGTTTCAATAACTCGAATTTTGATCACCCACGTTGCAAAGGATCACTGATGTATAAAGGAAGGTATGTTATCTTTTATCAAATTAGGATTTGTATATAAAAAAGAAGAATATATAAATGTTCCACATAATGAGTATAGTATGCAATTGCTTCAATAACTATGAATAGGTAATCTAGATGAACTAAAAGAAATTAAGAGTTAGTATAGTTGTTAATAGCCTAACATAGTATATTTTGGTTGCAATTAGCACATCTTGGATGAAATGATAGAATAATAATTATGACCATAAAGCTTTGACATGTTAAATGTAAATCTCTGTTATCGTATTAATAAATGCTTAATATTGTTTAGAAGTGCTGCTTATGTATTCAGCTCATGTTGAAATTTGAAACTGCCTAATGTTGAGTATTTGCGAATAATTGTTAGGTATAGTTCTAAAGCTCTTATCTGCCAAAATTGTTGTGTGCGAATATGTTAATTACTAGTATGAGGTGTGTGTCTTGCATCAGCAATCATGATAACCATATTGACAAAGTATGAAGTCTTGTTATGTGCCAGTAGTCCTAGGATTCATGTTCTAACGACATTGGGGTGCCACAATAGTGGGGCTTACGACCCTGAAAGAGGGCTGCACACAATGGCCAACCACCCCTATGGCTGGATTGGCATATGTGATTTATGTTTCCACCCAGAATTGGCCAGAACATTTTATGTCTGATTTTGGATAGGCATTGGAACCAATGTGTGATAAAATAGAATTTCCAGTCAAGGTGGAAAGAAAGAGGAAAGGAGATTTGCTAATCTGGAGTAGCATGTTTGCAGCTGTGAGCAGGCTTATTATGTCAATCCTAAAGCCCCCAGGAAAGGAATAAGACATCTGCATTAGCCTCAGATGATCGACTACTTGATTGAGGCATTGATGATCAGGGGAGCAGATCTAGGAAGGGAAATGGGGTTGCTTCAAGGGGCCAACCAGCCCCTATCGTGGACAAAGTAGTGCTAGCCAGCTTTGGGAAGGGTATGCCGATCTCTGTGGGCCCAAGAGGTCTTTGAAAAGAGGGATTAAGAGAGAGTTGGCAGCAAGAATCTAAGGACTTCGGATACTTGTAGTGCTACTATGTCCTGCTTTGATCATATCAAAAGTCCTTAGGGTTAACTAAGTCACATTCTGTTGGTTTCAGTTTCATGAAATTGCAATATCTACCAATTTTACTTGGTTCTTTTAGTTGGGTTCGAATGCCATTTTAAATCAGTTCTTTCAAGCAATACAATGTTTTCCTTTCATTTTTAATTATATGTCTCTTATACTTTTCAAGAGGTTTCTATTTTTCACAAAATTCTTTGTATACACCTTCCATGTATCAAATGATTGTATGCTATCAGTGAATAACACTGTTTCCAATTGATTGACCATGTGGATTTTGCTAATGATAATGCATTTGCCCAAGTTTTTTCTAAATGTTTTTCAGGTAATTTTTCACTTTATTTTATAGTTATATAAATCTGATGACTCAGTTTAATAGTCTCTCTCTTGTCTTCTTGGCTTATGGTTGGCGCTAACAGTCTTTGTTTTGGCAGGAGAGAAGCATTCATGGAGACAAGTACTCATTTAGTATGTACTTGTGTTATTTGATATATGCACCACTTTATATTGCTGGACCAATTGTAAGCTTCAATGCATTTGCTACACAGGTCAGTCCTTCCTTTTTTTTAACAAGATGTCTTTCTTTTGAGGGACTGAAATTGGAATTATTGTTTTAATTCTTCATGCTCCAAGTCAGCTAGAAGTTGGAGCTATATACCAAAGTTACAAGACAATTGTACTTAAAGATCCAAACCATAGTTTGAATACTGGCCAAGCAACTATCAGGATTGGCATCAGCCATAACCAAGTGAAATGCGCAAAAATTAAGGACATGATTTTTGCTATTTGATAGCTACCTAGTAAAGGACATCCGATCCAGGCTGACACAAAGAAGAAGAGCAGGAAGAGAGGACCAGCAACAGAAGAGTGGAGGGCATGCGAATGAAGAATCTTGCTGATGATTCCTGTTGCCAGGCAACCCATCTTCTTCACCATTGACAACCTTAGGTTTCACAGTCGTGTCTTCATTGTACCAGAAAGAATTGGGTTCTACCTACCATTTTTATGAAGTGGGCAATGCAGCCTCCTTACTGGCATAAAGAAAGGCTTCTTTGCAAGGGTGAGCTTTGGTTCTATAGTAAGGTTGCTCCGATATGAACTGGGAGATTAAGATTTAGTCAAGTAAACAATTTGTTTACTTGTAGGTAAATAGTTGCATACTTGACTCACTGAATACCTCACATTGGTGGAAGTCTCATGCATTTGACCATCATTTTAGAAAATATAAATGAATATACAATGGTATACCATATATACAATACTATACAGTAACTATTTGCATAAATAGTAGGCAACAAATTTGTATAAATAAAGTTGTATGATTAGTGTATAATATATAGCAATAATATAAACATACATGATAAATAACATATTTTTTAATAGAAAACATATAAAGCATAGTTAAAAATTTAAAGCAATAAGATAAGAAAATTATTAAAATCTTTAAATTTGTTGGTTTCAAATTTTTAACAGGAAGGGAATTTTCATAATCTTGTACGTTTCCTTAGTCCTGTCCATGTTAGATAATACCCTAATATTTTTCATTAATTATGAGAGCTTGAAAGGAAGTTGGAGAACAGAATCAAATCTGAAACAAAGTTTAATGGGCTATTGAATTGAATAGAAATCCTATCTTATGAAAGATTATGGGCCACCTATACATAATACTTTATAGGCCTAAGGTTACGATATGACAAACTCCTTATGCTCATCCCTTTCCTGCTTGAAGCTGAATGCGTGGGGCTTCTTTATAAAAATCAGGCTCAAGGATGCACCTATCTATGCTTTTTATTTGGTATCACTTGTTTGCACTTTTCACCATTCAATTCAACTAGTTGTTAAGTCTGAACTCAATTCATTTGTTACCTTTGAGCATGTAGAAGCTGACACCAAACTAGACTTTCTTGATTTATGTCTGTTTGACACCCATAAATAGGTGCAACAAGTCTTTTTTCAAGGTTAGATTGAGTATGTGTGGTCTGATTATTCCTTTTCCAACTTGGCATTTTGCAATATGTGCAGAAGATTGCATCAGTTGTACAATTTCTTTTCGATGGAAGTTCTCGTGTCTTACTGATGAGAAATGTGAATCTTCTAAACAGCACCCTCACTGTAGTTATTCGATGTTGATGTATCGGATTTAAATATACTACATATATGGATACAAGAGAGATTTATTTAAAGTGAAGGTTATTCTCTGGACGGTACTTGGTGTCTGGATGTCAATGTCATTTAACTTCTTCAGGTTGTAGCTGCTACTTCTGAAGGTCCATTATGTACTGATTTGTAATGTTTTGCCATAAACATATCAACTCTCATCGTACAGGTTTATTTTGATAGGTTGCATTATTATGCCTCAACTGTTAATACTTGTGCACAAATCAAAGAAAAGTTTTTGGCATTTAAAATAATTCATCCTTGATAGTTGATCACTGCCCGAAAGCTGGTATCTTTCAGATCTTAAAGCAAGATTATGGCATGTCATCTGACATTTTCAAGTAGGCTTGTTTAATTGAGAAATTGAAGTTGCGAGAAGCAATAATTTGTTCACAACAGGGTTCTTTCCATTTTATCTCCATTATTTTTTATCTGTTGAAGAGTCATCTGATTTGTATGTGCATGGGTCTTATGTACTGCTTGCTCACAAATATAAAATTCGAGTTCTTATAATTTATTACATTTAAAATGATAAAATTATACTGGCCTTGTATTCATTTTTCCAAAATGAAAGGATATATTACTGTAAAGACCTAGTACAAGCTACTCATGCTCCTCGGAGCACAAAAAATTACCCAACTCCTCTTGGCTGAGCACAAAAGAGTAAAAAAAAAAAGCCCAACTCGTCCGGCCAAGAGCTCCTCCAAGTAGAAGAGGATCCAAAGTACTGAACAAAATGTGCCAACCAATTAGCACTAAAGTTACCCTCTCGGAACAAATGAGAGACTACACAATCCTGGCCTTGTTGTATATTAACTGGTGCCTAGTTCAACCTAACCTGCATGTGATGTGCATCTGTAACAGAAGATCCTGAACCAATTTGTATCATTTGGTGTTCTATGTTGCATTCCACTAAAAGTCTGCATGGTTATTTTCATTTATCCAGTTTCTCTTACTATATTGCTCTTGTAGATGGACATGCCTCAGAAAAACTATTCACTCGGACAAATAATTCGATATGGACTGAAATGGATTCTTAATCTTCTTCTTATGGAAGCAATGACACATTTCTTCTACTACAATGCTTTTGCAGTTAGGTAAGCAAATTATTGAACTGTAATAATGATGAATCTCTTATTTGCAGACAACTTTATTTATTTATGTTTTCTGATAATTGTTTATGCAGTGGATCATGGAGGCACTTATCCCCATTGGAGATTCTCATCATCGGTTATGGGGTATGATATCTTCACTGTACTCACTTTTTTGCTAGATCTATTACATCCTGTACATGCATACCATAAAAAATGTTTTTTGTACTTTGTACTTAAACAGCAATTATTATGATCCAGAGCTAGATCTTAAAGGTAAAACATTAGAGGAGGGTCTAAATAGGCAATTGATATTGTTTAAAGTGATTCTGCTGCTGGAAAATGTAAGTATATATTTGAAGCATCTGTTTCAATCCAAAGCTCAATCTGAACTGACTCCCTCTCTCTCATCTTTTCTTAATCTTCTCTCTGATCCATATTTCATATGCTTAATGATATAAGATGACAGGCCTTACCCATCTTTGCTACAAAAAAGGGAGGATCAAACTGAATGCTTAAGTTCCCATAATGATGGTTTCAGTCATAAAAACTTTGAAGACTTAAAAAAAAATATAAGGGGAAAAAGAGAAAAGGACAAAAATCCATACCTTACAGGTGTTTTAAAAAATAGCACTAGATATATGAAAATTATTTATGATATGAAATTATAAAGGAATAAAGAACCTGAAAATATGAAGCAAGCAAAACCTAAGAAATGTAAACTCAGTGGTAAAGAATGACAACTTGCAAGTGGCAAGTACCTCAAACTTAATAATTACTAGGAATTTTGAGAATCATATTGGTATCTGCTACCACATCATTGTCATGACATGGCTGCTAATGTATTACAATGCTGCTTGATCACGTGGGGTAGGTGTGCCATATACTCCTCCATCCTTTCATTGTACCCAAAAAACAAAATCCTTAAATGAAACAGGTGGGTTGAGCTGCAAATATCACTGCATTAAACTGAGCCGTAGGTTTTGTTTGTAGGTATCAAAGCCAAAAGTCTGGCTTAAATGAGAGTATCCAATATCAATTTTGGTCAGCAAGCCAATTTTGCTATTTTACATGATTTTCAGCTAAGATCATGCTGAATCTTGAGACTATCTGAGGTATTTATCATTTAAAACAGGGAAGATATTGTTCTCTTGGTACAATGTCAAATTTTTCTCATGATTTATGAGTACTTGAAATAATTGAAATTAGGTTTATATAGATGAAGATCAATGTTTCAACTGTGTCAAGGACTTATTTTGAAATTAATACAGGACTAACATATTCCACAAGCTTACTTTTATCACTCTCTTTATCCAATACTTGCAGACTTGCTTGGTTAATGTCCTTCAAGCCTATAGTTGATTGTCTTGGCTGGTTTTCTTGCCTAGTAAGTTTCTGTTGCAAGTACTTGGATTTGGTTCTTTAGTGATCAGATTACTGGATGGCTTACTTTTCTGTCTCAAACATTCTCATAAGTTTACAGCAAACAACCATTTCCATCATGGTATTACAGTTGGGTTCTCATTGGTCGGCATTGGTTCTGCATCATTTTCAGTATTATTTTTATAATTAACATTCTAAGTGGACTTTGTTGAAAAATATATAAATGAACGTATCTTTTGTTTTATTTGTTTTTTCTTCTGGGTGACAGGTGTTAAACTTTATGTGGTTGAAATTCTTTCTGATTTGGCGTTATTTTACATTCTGGTCACTGGTAATCTTCTGAACTCCAGAATACTTTTCTGATCTATAATCTCATCCCTTCCTCAAATAATTTCTGTATGATCTCCTGCATCTCCTATTTGTATATTGAATCTTAAATTATGACTACCTGATGCTTCCGATATTCATGCTAGCCAATACTCCAAGTTTGGTGTAATTGAAACTTGAAAGAGTCGTGTATGTATGTATGGATCTGCAGTTTGTCATTTACATTTTTTTATGCTTCATTAAGTGTATTAGGAAAAATAGTGTGATTGATTGCGCAACATTATGATGATTTTTAGAAATCCTTGATGGCCTTTCTAGGTTTCAACATTCAAGTAAGCCTTTTCCTTTTCAAGACTCACCTATACAAGAAAATTGTTCTTATTCATAGGCTATATATGATGTTCTCCTACACTTTGTAAAGGAGTATTTAGGTTTTTGCTTCAAGGCAAGCCTCTTTTGCCTTAGAAGTTATTTATACTAAGAACATGCAATCTTCAGAGGGAAATTTGAGATTATGATAATTAAAAGTTTCAAGAAAGCTAAAGGAAGATTCAAAGCAAATAGGAAGAAGTAATGCATCTTTACTGTCTAACTAATTATAACACAGATAAATATCAGGAAATTAGCACATGTTCCAATTGGTTAGGAATGTATTTTCTTCTTGTACAATTTATGGACTATTGGGAATAACCTACCTATGGAATAATGGAACTGACAATTCTTATGGTCTCTCTGTCTTAAACATAAATAGACTATCCTGTAGATTTGTGTTTTTGTGATCTGAATATATAATTATAATCTACAAAGTCTTTTCTGTGTTGCACTGTTATATGAAGTTGAATCTGATGGTTTTTGAGATATAATTGTTAGCTTTATTGTTATTCAGCAAATTGTATTGAGAATTTCAAAATTCCAACATTATCACCATGACACTTCAACTGCAGATGACAGGCATTGAGACTCCGGAAAATATGCCTAGGTGTATCAACAATTGTTATGATTTGGAGACCTTCTGGAAAAGCTGGCATGCATCATTCAACAAATGGCTTGTCAGGTTTGTTTCAATCTTCCTTTACTACTTTGCTCAATTACTCACTGAATAATAAATTCTGTTGCTAAATTACAGGTACATGTATATTCCGCTCGGTGGTTCTCAGAGAAAGCTACTCAATGTGTGGGTTATTTTTACATTTGTAGCAGTCTGGCATGACCTGGAGTGGTAATTCTATTCTGTACCTGCCTGAAAATTGCAATTTCTTCAAACAAGCAATTTTCAGCTTTTAAGCTAAACAATGGTCCATCTGATGTTTTTGTCCAATAGGAAACTTCTTTCTTGGGCATGGTTAACATGTATATTTTTTGCTCCTGAGATATTGATCAAATCATGCAGCAACGCTGTTCAGGTATTGCTATTTTCCAGTTACAAATTGTCTGTCTTGGGAACAGTCATATTATAAGCTATCAGAACCATGATGGCCATATTAAATAATAATGGCATACATGATCTGTTGTTTTGATAATAATGACATCCACATGGTCATATGTGTTGTTATTCATTTACTCACAAGATGTGAATTCATATGATTTTATTAGCCTGTTCCATATACAAGTTAACAAAGTGCACCCATCTTTAACACAATTCTAAATCAAGTATCTGACAAGATTATCATCGATCAAAAATTGAAAATCTCAATAGTGATAAGTATTGAGAAGAATATTAACCTTAAAAGTTTCCATCATTGGCTGTTCTTGAGCATGGGGGCTATTATGCTAGGAAGATATTCAAGATCATAGTGTGTGTGCCTTTGGTTGGTCTGACATCACCAGCTTTGAACCTTATGTGCCAAGGTTAACTGGCATGGGCTGAGATGAGGTTGTTTATTTTTTACATGGCCCATCATGATAGTGAATAGAGTTGATGTTGTAGCATTCTGTGCCAATTTTGGCATACAGAACGCCAATAATTAGTATACAAATAGCATATTTTCTTTCTTGTAATTATATCTCATCTTTGTGGAGAATAGACCTGTCTTTTTGAACAATTCATCAGGATGTTCCTAGTTAAACAAGGTTTGCCGGATGAGGACAATCTTTGGATTTTGGATCGGGATTGAATCAGATCTGCTTTATTAGATTTTTAGGTATCAACCTGAATTGGCAAGAACTGGTTACAGTGGCTGAATATGTGAATAACTGACTGGAGTCAGCTATGAACTTGTGCAACTTTGTTGCACCCAATTCATTTGCGTGGTTCTGTAATTTTTTAATTCCCGCTCAGTTTGAGCTGATCCTGATCTGGCTCTGTTATCAGCAGATCCTGCATACTGTGCATGTTAAATCTCAACTGAGTGTTACCAGGCCTGTATGATCACAATAAGAATTGACCTTGTATAATGGTAATGAATTTGTCAGTTTTTAGCATGTCTCATAGATGTTTGATTAAATTTAAAGTGAAGTCTGAGTGGCACTCAACCTGTCCTTCTATTGGTCACAACATATTTATTTTAGAACAAAGATACTGTTATGTTTTGTATGATTTTTGTTGGCTAATTATTATTACATGTTCATAATTTATGCGTGCTATCAGGTAAGAAGTGCTTTTGGGATGTGCATGCAACGTGAACTAAGTGCTATTGCAGGTGCTGTGACAATATCATGCCTTATGGTATGTTTCGTATTTATCTTAACGTTTTCATTGGTATGAAAGCTCATAAATGAGCATACTACAATAACAGTTTGAATTAAGATTCATTGTAGCTTCTCTTTAGATCCCACACTGAGCACCTGAAGAAGCCATTGTGCACAATTGGCAGAATTTTACAAATTATACGCTTGATGTGTGAATACTGAATAGTTACTTAAATTTATTTCTTTGTCTATACATGAATTTCTGCTGAAGTTGCATAATAACCTGAAGAAATAGTTGTAGTCCTATCATTCTTGTGTCCATGTACTAATCTTCATCCTCTATTAAAAAACTAATCTGTACTCGATACTCATGGAGCTGCTAAAACCTAGGTTTCTTTCAAGTTCACTATGAGTTTATTTCTTTTCTCCATAATGTGTAACTATATTTTTTAAGTAGCTGACTGCACTGTCATGAACTTCTGTTTCTGGTTTATTCTGGTTTACAGGTAGCAAATCTTGCTGGCTTTGTTATGGGACCATCAGGAATAAAATGGCTGATTTCTCGGTTGCTTCACAGAGATGGTAACTTCAAGACCAATTTCTTTCTATGTTTCTTAATCGACTCATAATATTCCTTTCTGCGTTGCACAGATTTACCTATTCTAGCGGGCACATTCACAACTTTTTATGTAGGAACTAAGGTAATTGTTGATCGTTGCGGAGTTTGTATTGATCACACTGGTATTCCACCTATAACGGCTATTTTCAAATTCGCAGCTAATGTTTCATATCCGTGATGCCAAAAAATGCAACCAGCTGAAGGATCACTGAGACTTGAGCTTTTCCACCGGTTGAGGAAACTACGAAACCTCACTCGGTTCATCCTTTTTTTAATTTTCCTAACATCTCATTGGCAAAGACTAGAAGCAAAAGGAGATGTTAAAGCAGGCATTATCAAGGCAAGTAATTTCAGGAACAAGATCTCATAAGCCTGACACTAAGCTTACAAACTTTGCAGAGTTCTACTGCTGGGGACTAAACAAGACGCGACAACAGGTCTACTCTGTAAATTTTTATACTCCAACTGCGTTCAGATTCCTTTATGTAATTTTTGTTAAAAATATTCATCAAGAGTGATAAAAAGAGAAGATAATCTCATGTCATCAGGGATTGAAAGAGTCGAATTATATAACCTAAAAGTTAAGCTTTTTCTTGTTGAATTGGTGTATCTATCTATGTATTTAATTCAAATTCATCATTAATATTTTTTTTGATAAGTTTATATTATTAAAAAGTCAGTGTACAATCTACTTTCTCTCGGTATCAATCCACCCACCCGAGACAAATTCTGAGGCCAAATCCTTGTGGTCGAGAAGAAGGAAGTGGGAGGCGAGCTCGTGCAGAAATCGAGAATAGAAAATGAGGGAAATTGTAGTCTTCTGGGTTGGTTCATGTATGCTCCATGGCCCAATCAGCAGCTATGACTAAGTCGGATCTAATTTTTATTGAATCCGGTAAAACTTGTCTTATCTCGCCAACATAATTAAACCCGGCCCGTCAGTTAACGGATCTGATACAGATGGACAAATTTGAACCGCGAATTGGATCGGGTTTGATAAGGTATCTCGATTCCGTCTGATTCCGACCCGAGCAACAGTGACACGCTGACAAGCCCACAATTCCCTGCCTAAACGGGCAAAGACAGAATTGCTTAAACCAGCTTTAAAATAGTTGCAGTATTCCTACCCTCGATTCAACGTAACACTAGTAATCACTCACCTGACATCCACGTCACCACTGTCCGCTTCTACCCACGCCGAGCCCGGGCGGTCCCGCGTCCCACTTTAAAAGCCCCCGACCGGTCTTCTCCATCTTGATCTCGTCGTGTCTCACCCGCCGCAGCGGCATGAGTGGGTTCACAGAGCTCGGCTTCGCTCTCATCATATTCTTGTCCCTCTCCCTTCTAGGGTTAGCCGCCGAGCTCATCTACCTCCTCCACCGCCGGCGGCGGAGGTGGCTCCTTCAGCAATCCACTGCCGATCCCGAGCTCGGCGGCGGGCCGTCCTCCGGGGATCTCCTCCTCCACGTCCTCTGCTTCGAGCCCCGCTCCCGGGTCGAGCCCGCCTGCGCTGCCCCGTCCTTCGCTCATCCCTCCGCCGCCGCCAATCCTGCTTCGCCGAAGCCCCCGGTAGATCCCGCGGAGGCGGAGTCGGATTCCGACCCAGAGGAGGATTGCGACTTCGACCGGTGGCGGGCCACGTACTTGGGGCCCTCCCGAGCCCTGTACACCATCAACGAGGAGGAGGAAGACGACGACGAACATTGGGAGGAGGCAGAGGAGGAGGAAACGCCATTCGCGACGCCGTGCTCGTCGCCCGGGTTCTACACTCCGTCGCCATCTCCGCCCCGCACGAGGGAGTAGGCCAGAGACGACGCCGGGAAACTCTCCCTTGCCGTCCATCGGAGGTGAGGATTTAGGGCGCGCTTTGCACGGGGCCGGGACTGTACGGTCGTCCGTACGAAACTATGAGGTACCATTGGAGTCTCACTTGGTATTTTAATTTGTTTTTTCTGTTTTCCCAGTAAATTATTTCGCTTTCAGCCACGATAGAAAGAATACATTTATAGGCCACTAAATGCTGATAGGCGTAGTTTCCTATTTATACATATATATATATATTGTTGTATATGAGTGAAGCTTTTGGGACTTTTGAGGCAGGACAAAATAATGGAAGTAGCAGTAATGAGTGTGATGAGAGAGAGGTGTGGTTGGTCGTATGCTGAGTTATTGCACTGCTTTCAACTGCTAGGATTGTTATGATGGACGTAGTTTTTGAGATCCAAGTGGCAACCAGGCTCTCACATCATGGCCGGGATGGATGATGGATGATGGTAGACTTTAGATGCGGATGAGCATGCAACATGCAAACAGCACCGAAACATTTATTAGCTTTGACGGAAGCCAACACTCAAAAATCTTTGAACCTCCTGAAAAGTAGGCATCGGTCATCTGCATCCTCCTTTGGGGTGACACCCATCATTATCAAACTGTTCTGTGCCTTTAGCTTTGCAGGTTTGTTTTACTAGTTTCCCCGTCTGCTTTCTTCACCTTTTTGCTTTAGTTTTGTATCGGTTCCCTCTAAAATTTCCACTCTCCTATTTGTTCCCACCCACCGTATGAGAGATGTTTGAAGTATGCTTCAACTTTGAGGTCGAATCTTGACTCACTGATCCACAGCATTATATTAGTCAGATCATATAATGTGTTTGAAATATGTACTTGTCTCTCTTCGTTCTATTCTTCTTTCATCTATTGAACTTTGGATTCAACTTTGGGTGTCGAGTCCAATCTGAGTTGGTTGAATCACTCGATCAAATTATATTTATCAGTAACACTGATGTAGTCACAGCTTGTCCCACCAGACACTTCCCACATGCTACACCAACTACTATCATTAATGTTGGATGTTGTTATCTAGTACGAATCGAATAGGGTGGGGTGGGGGTTCATTCTCGAAGACAAAGCTTGTAGGTGCCAACCAAGGATGCTATGTACACAGTGAATCCAAGAAGCTCTTCTCCCGGATCAAGTTTGCTTAGGCTTTGAGAGGTCAGGCACTAGGAATTATTCTTGGTGAATTCCTCCATAACCCTTACTACTGAGATCTATATATGTTTGTGTCCTGCATGCAACAATAATATTGTGTTGTGTGCAACACATGCTTCCCCCACCAAGAATAAGTAGGTAGCAGATACATACATGGAGTATGATGTTCTTAATACTCCACTGGAAAGTAATTATTTAGGTAGCAGATACATAATTATTTTGCTGTACAAACCAGCCTGTTCATGCTTATGAATTGGTGTGTGTGCAAAATTGCAGTGGCCATGGCCACTTCCAGTCACCCATTTAATGAATGTGCACCCACCGGTTTCCCAGCCTGCAACGATGAGGAGATGAAGGTGAAAATACCCTTCTCAGAAAGTAAGATTCTTCTGCCAGGGTTTTGTACTGTACCAATCCCAATTTAACATATAATTTCCATTGTAGCTATAACATACTCCTGAATGACTCAAGTGTGCGCAGGATCACTATGAACAAATGATGAGTACCATGCTTGCTGTAGTCACAAGTCACATGGATGCAGCTAATTTCCTGTGAACAATGTTGTTGTTGTGTGAAATAAATGCTCCCCTTCATCATTTATTCCTTGCTGGTAATCTTGGGACTACCACAAGTACTAAGATTTCATGTTTCTTATTGACAAACTGATGTTTCTGAACATCATGTAAAGAAGAAATAAAAATACTAAAGGATAATAAGCACATCACAAAAATGAATGGCATGAAAGCAGAGTACAAAGCTTTACCATGTTCAAGGTACAGACAACCACCATATCTCTGTATGCTTAGATAACATGACCTGACCAAGTAAATTGTTATACAAGTAGTGGCCAAAATGTTGTGTGTGTGCACCAATATTTCCCTCTCCATGAGAGTCAGTTCCTCACTGTAAAGTGATTCATTATTTCTTTTTCCTTTTTCTTTTGAGGGAGGAGGCTTGTATAGATTTCACTTACAATTGTGCTTGCCTTTTTGCGTTCAGGTAGGACACTTATTTGTGCATCCCTCTGTTCAGTCTTAGGCAACATCAAGACAAGAGCTTGTCAGTGATTTTGTACTGATCTATGTTTTTGGCTCATCTAGGGAACATAAAAAGAGAATCTAGATGTTGATGAAGCAAATGAGATAAGCAGCAACTGATTGGTGTTTGGGGTCACTGATTGATTAGGTGTACTTTTATGCACCAAGACACACAAACTGCTTTATCTTTATGTTTGAGACTTATATAGGATGCTAATTGGTGTGATCAGAAGAATGAGAAGCTGAAATAACTTGTAGAAGCTGATGAAAGCTTGTCTGTCACCTTACAGATCTTTGTCCCTCTTTGTTCAGCATGCTTTTATTGCCACAAAGCAGTCACCTACTTTTCATGTTCTTGCTCTTTTTCTCTTCTACAGAGTAATCCAATCAGCTGTGACCTCTGTAAGATGCCAAAGCAGAGAAGAACATCACATGTTATTAACACAATGTCTCCTGTTACCAATTTCATGTCAGCAACTCCAGTGAAGATAGAAGCTGCAAAGATAAAACTCACCACTGCAGAAATTGCAGCAATCTTCCACACAAAGCAAGCCAATTCAATGCATGCCTGTCCAATTCTGACATGGGCTTCATTATTTTCCTAAGTTGCATTGAGATGAAATTTATGAGAAGAACCCCACACACACAAACACACCGCCCCATACTATCCCACAACATTGTATTGTCTCAGACATCAAAAAGTGGCTGAAGACATGGGTAGGTCCATGAAAAAAGTCCAAGGAACTCCTCTTGACCAATGTCCTTTGAGCATGGCCAACTTGCTCTGCTCCAGGAGTGGCAGCATTCAATGCTCCCCACCTCTCTTCCCATGTCACCATCACTATAAAGGTTCACTTGTGCAGATAAAGCAGCAGGAGGCAGAGAAGGTACAGACTCTGCCACCACTATGGACAATGAAGCACAAAGAAGAACATGGACCTCACCATGTCAATTCCATGATAATTATCCTTGGCGCAGGATACGCAGCCACATTATTCTTTATTTATATGTACACACATCAGCACAAAAGCAACCAAGGATAGAAAGAAGACAGGAGGAAATTAAATCTGATCTCCTCCTCCTCCACCCCCACCACCACCACCACCACCACCACCATTTTGTTCTCAGAAATGACAAAAGCCCTCCGCCATGCTGGTTCACCATCCTTCTCTTCTTGTATTTATTCCACGAGACAGGAAGAGAACAAAACAAGTGGCCTTTAGGGTTCATCTCCTCTCAATAAGTCCAGTCCTGAGGCAGACCCGTCTCTGCAGGAGGAGGAGGATGCTGAAATGGCATGCCTTGCTCCCACACTCCTCCATTTCTTGTCGCCTGCTGCTGCTGCTGCTCTCCTCTGCCTTTCACATCTGCAGAGCAAAACAATGCTACTGTCATCAAGAAAGAATCCGCAGTACTACGGCATTATCTACCACTGAGAAGAAAGAAACATCATGAAAACATTTCTCGAGAAAGACGAAACACATGCATGCAAGTATACATGATGTGTGTCCAAAATACTACAAGATATGTTAGCGTTTGAAGCTTACAGGGTTTCTTCTTGTCTTCGTCTTTGAAGACCCGTGGGAGGAACACGCCCGTCCCCCCGCCCTCCCTCGCCGAACCAGGAGATGGTAATGGAATGAACCGGTCCGGAACCGGTTGGACCGGAGCCTGCACCACCCCGCCTCTGGCCGCTCCAAAGGTTGCCTATCATTCATGATTCACCCAACCAGCCCTTGTCATTATGACGGAGAAGGAAGAAGAAGAAGAAACCGGATCAACTCCGGTCCAAACTCACCTGTGTCTGAACCGGTCTCGACATGGAGCAAAACCGGAGCATGCCGGGGCTCGAACCGGGAACACCCCGCCCGCCATCGCCGGTCATGAACCCGGCGTGAACCACGCCGACTCCGACGAGATTTTCCGCCCCTGCCAGCCGGGGCGCCGGCCTACCCTGCTTGAAGCCGAACACCTGTCGCCAGAAGACGTAAACCGTGAGCGAAGATGACCCGAAGAGAGGAGACGGGAAGGGAAGGGAAGGGAAGGGGAAGCGAAGCGAGACCCGAGGGCGGGGCGGGGCATGACGCGGCGGTCCGAACGCGGGGAGGAGGCCGGCCCGGTCGAGCATGCAGAGTGCGTCGAGCTGGCGAGCGATGCCTTCGAGGTAGGCTAGGTGGGCGGAGCAACCGGGGGAGGCGGCGACGGCGGAGGAGGAGGAGGAGGAGGACGAGGAGAAGGGGCGGCGAACGCCGACGTCGCGGATGATGTCGGAGGGCAGCCAGAGCTCGCCGTCCTCCAAATCGGGTGGGAAATCCGCCATTGGACCCCACTGTAGAACCCCAAGCGCACAGCGAGCAGGCGGGCGAGGGAGAGAGAGAGAGAGAGAGAGAGACAGACAGACGGTGAAGATAGATATAGCGGCGAGGAAACTGGTCAAGGGGCATCATGGTAATTTCGTGTGGGCAGGAGACGAGAGTAGCGGAGAGCGGATACTTGTGGCTGTTCGTGATAGCGGCGCCCAAAACGAGGCCGAAGAGGGGAGTGGGGCGTAGGACTTGTGCTACGGGGACTCACGTCTCGACGCGAACCCGCGAATCTGCGTTTCGTGGAATGCAGTGATGTGTGGAGCGACGGGTGGGTGTAAGCGTGAGCGGGTGGGAGGGGCGTGGGTAATTTAATTGGGGAGACAGATATGGCAACGGCGCCAGCTTCGGAAGGATCCCGCGAAGCGGCGCACGTGGAGGAATACGAATTTGGGCCGTTCGATTTAGGACACGTGGAGGAATCGCGGATCCAGAGCGCATGTAACGGCACTTTTTGGCGCCAACAGGGAACCGTCGCCTTCGGGTCGAAGGGGGAACGGTAAGCGTGAGGCATGCGGGGCTACCAAAGTCACGTGACGAGAGTGGGCCCGCGGCCCCCGCCACGTTCTCCGGGCCCCTCCCCCCCCCACCCCTATTAATGGCGGTTGTGCGGGCGCCTCGTGGCTCGTCTTGAAATGACCCAAATGCCCTCGTCACGCCGAAACGACGTCTCGTGTCGTGAGTTAAGCGGTAACCGAAGCATGAATTTACCCATGACGTCTCTCTCTCTCTCCATGGACATTAGCACAAAGTAGCAATCGAAGGACATTTAGTGTTGACTCGCTTCGACGACCTTAAATGGTCCGCAAACATGTTTTGTTTGATAATTGACACACAATTTCAACCGAGCGTAATGTTTGATGGGACGGCGTGCGCCGGCATGAGATCGATCGATAGATCCTCGCTTATCTAAGCGCAGAAATAATCCCTGTCGTTCGTTGACTTTTTGTAAGAAGCTCGTAGTTGACATCATTTTCTGAGAGCACATTCGTAGTGTAAAAAAGGCACAGCAGCATTGTTGTGGGAAACAACTTTCAACCGTGGCCTCGGGGTCGACGCGGCTAGGTTCGGGTCCGGATGACGAGATCTTCCTAGGGCGTTCCTCGAGTCCGCTGAGGTGGTCGGGTGCGGTGTCCGATCGGAACGGTGTGACCGTCTCCTCCGGGCAGGAACTCCTCGCCTGCGCGTCCGGAGGGGTCCTTCGGCTTCACACCTGCACAAAGGTCGGGCCGAGGCGCTCGGCCCGACCCCTCCGACGATCAAGTTAGCGGATGTGGAGGGGGTTTCAGATGAAGAAGTGTTTTTGTGTGTCTGTCCCCCCCCTCTTTTCTAATGAACGAGAGGGTATTTATAGGGAAGCATACTGCTTCCTGAGCTGCCCGCTTGCAGGGGGCAGGTTGGTAGCGTCTGACTTTGTGTTGGCGTGGCGTGAAGAATTGAGCTTTGGCAAGATGTTAATGTGCCTCGGTCGGCGTTCCGGTCTGCATTGACTATGTGTTGTTGCGTGAGGCGTCATCTGACGTTACCCGAGTCTTATCATAATTACTATCATCATAATATTCCCCCCCCCCCCGAAGGAAGTCATGCCGTAAAAAGGGGGGGTCTAAGGCATGGCTTTGGGTTTGAGAAACTGTCCCAACAAGGCGCCTTGCCGGAGGTGTGAGAATCGTGGAGTTTAGCAACTAAGAAGGGTCGGATGTGCAGCGGTGACCCAGGTAGCGTGCGACCGACGAGCACACTTAGTAGGGCAGGTCGACGCATGGTGTGACCTCGGGGAGCATGGAGCCGAGGAGGACGACGCAGGCGGGCTGGCCGCGCAGGTGTGGTCTCAGGGAGCATGGGGCCGAGGAGCACGACGCAGGCGGGCAGGCCATGCTGAGGTGGACTCGGCAGACTTCGGTTGAGCCGTGTAGATTCAGAAGGATTTAGGCCGGGGCTAACCACGAACCGGGGGGTAGTCAAGTAGATACTGAACCTTCGCTCGGAAGAGACTGAGGCAGGGCCTAAATTTCTTTTCACGAGGACTACATCGGATAGCCGTCGCGGGTGCTTGACCCCTTCTATGGAGCCCACTGTTGAAAGTCGTCCCTTCTCCTTACGGTTGCCCAGGCCTCCGCCGCGATGCACTGGTTAGCTCGCTCCACGAGGGACCAGAGGAATCTGGAAGGTCGTAGGCCTATTATAAACGCCTGCACCAACAGAGAAGGGTGAGTGTCTGGCAAACCCCGGATTTGAGTGGTAAAGCGATCCACAAAATGTGAGAGGGGCTCGTCCTCCCTTTGTTTGAGTTTGAGGAGTAGTGTCGCGGAGGGCCTTGGTCGTGCATAGACTACGAAGTGGAGCTCGAAGTCATTGGCGAGTTGGTCGAAGGAAGCAATCATTCCGGTCTTTAAGTCACCATACCATGCGTGGGCCGGCCCTCTCAGAGTGGTAGGAAACGCTTTGCACATCAGGGCATCGGAGGTTCTGTATAGCACCATTTGGGCGCGAAAAGTGGCTACGTGGTCCGCCGGGTCGGTGGAGCCATCGTAAGCGTCCAGAGAGGGGAGCTGGAAGTCCGGGGGGACTGTCAGATCCCGTATCTCGGGCGTGAAGGGAGACCCTTGGTGTGCGTCCTCCCCAAGCTCTCCCTTGGACATGCGAAACTCTTTCTGCACCTCGTCGAGTCGTTGGCTAACGAAGCGCAACTATGCCCGTAGGGAGTCCGAAGAGAGTGCCTCGGGTTCCGGGCGGCCACTCGAGTTTGCCATCACTGGATCCCTGAGTGGGGCCGGTCGGACCCGAGGCGAAGTGGGGGGCTCCGGAAGCATCATGTGGGCCCGAACGGGCGCCTTGCGTTGTCGCAGTGGTTCGTGTTAGGATCGGAGCGGCACTAAGAGGGGGGGGGGGGGTGAATTAGTGCAGCGGATTAAAACTTCGATTTTAAAAAAAAATCTTTCGTACGATAAGAACGGAACTTG